TATACCCACTGCTCCTCTGCAAGTTGCATCCACTTTGTGTTTGAATACARTTGTTTTGCTCCTTCCATGTACAGGTATGAATATAAACCCCTCAAGTGTGGCAATGCTGTCCAGAGAGTAGGATGACAGAACTGTGGTGATGTGCTTAACTTCTTTATATTCCARTAGCACTGAAGGTGGCACATGAACACAAGGGTCTCTCAGACTTGTTGGAGGGCTTTGGAACTGATAGCATCCCTTTCATGAGCTCATTGCCTTTTGCTCGTGGTATCTTAAGCCTTTGATCCTGTCCTGCACATTTGAAGRAATGGCTTGCTTGCCCCAGGCCGGGGTTGTCTTATCCTACCAGTCCTAAGAGGGATTTTTTGGGCATGTTTTTTAGGTTGAAAGCACATCAAAGGCTTCACACAGGGAAAACATTTAACTGTGAATCAGAAGGCTGCAGCAAATACTTCACAACGCACAGTGACCTGAGGAAGCACATTCGAACACACACAGGAGAAAAGCCATTTCGGTGAGTTGCTGGGTGGCAGTTCTGGCTTCTGTGGCTCAGGTAATGGAGTCCCTGTGGCAGAAGGCAGCTGTTACTGCTCTGAATGGAATGGTGTTCTCCTGAGGAATAAGTGAAGGTGGCTGGCTGGCATTGGAGCATGCTTTCGTTGAGCTCCCACAGCTGCCTGTAACAGTGAGTGTGGTGGTTGTCCTAAAAGACAAGAATATTCAAGGTATTTTTTTAAACCTGTGCCATGATGAGTGTCTTTTAAAACACACTGCTGCTCTCTGCTGGGATGCAATATGTATTCCATGAAGGACAATATATATTCCACCTTCATACTTGGCTTTTAAAGTCCTGCTCAGAACCCTGCTGTGGTCTGTGTAGTATGCACAGCAGCTGCTGGCAGTAACCTGATTGCTAACACAGCTTAGCTTTGGGGCTGCTTTTTAGAGTCCTGGGGCTATTGCAAAGCATGATCTAAGGTTGTAGCTATTGCATTGAAGGGGGCTGATGCTGACTCTCCTGTGATGCCTCATTCAGGTGTGAGCATGATGGCTGTGGGAAGGCTTTTGCTGCAAGCCACCACCTCAAAACACATGTTAGAACACATACTGGTAAGTTCTGTGGATTTTTRTTTTCTTTAATTGAGTTTATTCAGTTTATATTAACTCTCAGAATCCTAATATGAATTTATAGTTACATATAATATGGGGGTGACACTGAGCTGAGTGGCTCAGGTGACGTGTGGGGGAGGGGATGGCATCCAGTGCAGGCTGGAGGAGTGTGCCCATGTGAACCTCATGAGTTTAAAAAGGCCAAGTGAAAACTCCTGCACCTGCCTCAGGCCAATCCAAATTTTCCATTTATGCAGATGTATTTATGCTTGGCAGGTCTTGAATTCAATGAAYGTGTTACACAAATGTATCAGTAATGAGGCATAACAATTAAATATTTTGTTGTGTGTCAGTTCCTGTGGTGAAATGGAAACATTCACCTGCAGGACTTCCAGGAATTCTGAATGCATGAAGAGGCATTAAATGTCTTGTTTGTATGAAATACTTCTCCCTCAAGTGCTTTAAARTTGTGTGAATGATAGGATGTTTTAAAGTCTGTTAAATGTGTTTTGTGCTACATCTAGGGGAGAAACCCTTCTTCTGTCCCAGCAATGGTTGTGAGAAGACTTTCAGCACCCAGTACAGTCTCAAGAGTCACATGAAAGGTCATGAGAAGGGACATAGCTATAATGCACTTCCCAATAACAATGTGTCTGAGGTTAGTAGCACTTCTGCCTAATGCTTCTGTGTTAGGCTGATATAAACCATTCCTTGGGGAAGAAATCATTTGGTCTGCAGCTTGTTCTTAAGGTGTAACATTTCAGACTGGGATTTTCAAAGGGAGTTGTAAGTGCTTGTTTTGCCATGTGTGCATGTGGATGATTGTATCCATCAGGGTGATTTCCTTGTGTGTGCTTCAGCTGGAATCAATACTGTGGGATAAACATATGAAGTAAAATAGATATCAACTAAAAATACTAACTGTGAAGGTTTAATATTTTTATTTTCTATAAATTGATTTGTTTGTTCCTGTGCTAATTTAAAATTCTGGGTTATATGACTTTTTGGAAGTATTTTGACAGAGATTTTAAKATTCTTGATAGCTACTAAATATCCTTTACTTGAAAATCTTGCTCCTTTGATTTTAGAACTGAGACCCGGGTCCCATATAAGCAGAGTTGTATGGACTCTTAACTACTAATTTAAAACATTCCTGCCATTATTATTTTAATAKATAATCCAAATTGTTTTTCTTTTTTACAGGATACAAGTCACTCACTTTGTCTGAGTGATTTAAGCCTCATATCAACAGATTCAGAATTGCGGGAGAACTCTAATCCGGTGAGTTATTGTCCTGGAATTGCCTCATCCTTATCTGAGYTTTTATTTTGTCCTCCAAAATGTGCAATGCTTAGTTCAACCTGCTGTTGAAGGCTCTGTATTTGATTTTGCCATAACAGTGTTCTAGCTTTTTGAGAAGTGTTGACTGTGCTTAAATTTTACATAGAGGAAAATTAGATGCTGAGGAGACTGTGTTATTCTTTGTGTTGTGGCGTGGGAGCAGGGTGCAGGTGTTGTATATGTTCTGCTCCTTGAGCAGTGTGGGAGACTAGAAYTGCATTGTGTGGGATACAATCTAAATGGAGCTACTTTTTTGCTGCTCCAGAARAGGTAACTGACAAGCAGCCAGTTATATCTCTTTCTGTTTCTGATGGAGTACTGCAAGAACTAAGGTTTAAACAAAGTGTGAATGCAGAGGAATATATTTTTAACTTCTGAAGAAGTTAGTTATTTCTGTAAGGATTTGCTCATTGTGTTGGTAAATTTGATTATGGGTAATAAAAACGAACTGTAAATTTATAGCATGCAAGTAATACTTGTTGCCATTCCTGATGGTGGCTGGTTTGTTGGAGGAAGGTTTCTGACATGGACACGATGCTTTATTTGGGTTTGTGCAGTTTGGGGAGAGCTGAAATACAACGTTGTCTGATGTCTTCCTCTTTGTTTTCTATTTGGCAGACACATGGACAGGACCTCAGCACAATCTCACCAGCAAGCATCTTTGAGTCTATGTTTCAGAGCCCGGACCACACTGCAAATCAGGATGACTCTCAGCAGACAGGTACCAGTTGTATCTGCACTGCTGTTAAAGAGAACTCTTTGCATGCATGTACTGAATTTGGCATTTCATGCTGAAGCTTAATGCCCAATGTAACTCTAAGAAGCAGAAAGGTCTTTAACTTCAGTGTTGAAATTCATTGGTGTTGGTGTGCATGGTATGCACAGACCGTGTGACACTCAGTGACATGGGAGGTGACCCAGAACACTGTCCTGCAGTGGAGCTCTCAAGCAGCCCACGCCATCCTGTTTTCAGGGTTCTTTCTTGATGTTGCTGCACAAGCTGGCTGATAAAAGGCTTATCAGAGAGAGCTGATGAGGCTGATTTGGCTCAGTGTAGAGCCCAGTGTTACCAACTTCCTGAATTTGCAGTACTTCTGGATTTCACTGTCTGGGGTTGTTTCTGTGTCTGAAGTTAGGAAGGTGGTGATGCTTTACTCGGCAAAAATCCATCAGCTATCTGATAAGTTCCTTGAAAAAGCAGTTTATTCAGACCTGAYGAGAACTGATGAATTTATATTTTTTTCTGTTTCTTTTTCAGCAACTGCCTTGATTGAGGGGTTTAACGGTGACACAGACTCGGTGGCTGCGGTCCCGCCCCCAGCAGGAGACGCAGCGTCGTTGTCCCTCCCCCTGGTTCTGCAGCTCGGCCTGCCTGAGCCGGCGCAGGCAGCTCTGCAAGCCTCRGCAGCACCCGCTGCTCCCTCCTCCATAGCACCCAGCTCACAGCCAGCTGCRTTTGGGAATCCTGCAACTGTTTTACAATCCCCAGAAGTGCCTGTTCCTCACAGCACACAGTTTGCAGCCAGTCACCAAGACTTCCTGCAGCACAGCCAGCCGCCKCCGCAGCCCATGGTGCAGGGACTGTCAGTGGTTGCTGGGGCTCCTGCCCCGACAGCCCCGAGTGCCRCTGAGCCCCTGCCAGCTGTAGTTCAGACTGTGCCTGTTGGTGCAAACCCCGTTTTGACCAGTAACCCCACTATAACCATTACTCCTTCTCCAAGCACCGCCATTCTGCAGTCCAGCATTGTCATGGGAGAGCAGAACCTACAATGGATCTTAAATGGTGCCACCGGTTCCCCGCAAAGCCAAGAACAAATGGTCAGTACATCCAGCATGGCTTTGGAACAGCTTGAACCATTCCTCCTAGAGCTTTTGAGAAGGGAGGGGGTCAAACCTGTAAGATAAACCCCATGATGCAGTGTGGTATAATGCTTGTCATGTTAATGTGCATACACATCACCAGTGTGTGATGGCGCAGCCCCTGGAATAGACAGGGAAGTAAATAGAGCACAGAGAGATCCAGGATGCAGAAAAGTATTGCTTTCTTCTTTCCCCCAGTGGTGGACTTCTGCCAGCAGGTATCAGTGTGGTTTATCCAGGACAGGGCACCACCAGGCCTGAGGATGTACATGGGGCTTAAAATAYTACTTTTAATGCATAGAAGCACAAAAGACTTTGTAAAGGTTGYGTTTAGGCATTTTGTAATCTCTGTCTCTGCCTAGTTTAGACTGATAAAGATAATGGCAAGAGTTTTTCTGAAAAGAAAATGTTTGTGCTTTTCTGGTAAATCTAGATAGCTGAGACTTCAGGAGTTTTCTCTTTGACCATATTGGTGCCACTTTAGGCTCTCAGCTGCACTTGAACACGAGTGAGTGGCTGCAGGTACAGGCAGTGGGAGCACACACAGCAGTGTTTAAGAATTCAGTCATTGAGCTGTCAATACCCACAAACTGAGTTAACCAGCAAGTAATTTGAGGGGATGTTACGCCCAGTCATTAGGACCACTGAAACAATACTTGGAATCCAGTTTTCCTGTGTGTCTCTTTGGAATATGTGTATAGCTGTTTAGAATTTGAACAGTAGAAATTTGATTGGAGTCAATTCACACTTTTTTCTTGTTTGTTTTTTCTTTAAAGCCACAAGTTCCAAAAGTAGTAGAAAAGGTGTTTTTTACCACTGCATTACCAGTAGCTGGTAACACAGGTAAGCGTGACACCGAACTAATTTAACAAAGCTGATTTGTCAYTCCCTGCTGTGAAATTATGTTGTTCCATTGTGTTTTGTCTTTGTTTCACCTTCAGGAAACCCTGTTCAGCAGATTGGTCTCAGCGTTCCTGTCATTATTATAAAGCAGGAGGAGGCCTGCCAGTGCCAGTGTGCCTGCCGAGACTCTGCCAAGGACAAARCCACCACCACCGTTAAGAAGGAATGTTCCTCACCTGATTCAAAAGCTTTGGAGCAGCCAGCTCCCCAGCTGCAGCCTCAGACCTTTCCTTCCTCCTCAGCTCCTCCTTGTGGGCAGAGCAGTCAGATAGTTAACCCTTCAGACTCCCAGACTGAAACATTAAGTGCCATGGATGTATCGGACTTCCTGTCCCTCCAAAGCCCTGAAACCCCGTCTAATATAATTCCAATCGAAGCACTACTACAGGGTGAGGAAGAAATTGGTTTGAATAGCAGCTTCTCTAAGTGAAGATGTTCCAGATTTTTCTTTGCACCTGGAGGGTAAAACCCTTCTCCTTAGAAGCAGAAACTGAAGGATCGATTCATATTCCTTCCTSTTTGGAAGTGTTGTGGCTTATTTCTGCTTCACAGATGTCATCTTAGTCACGTCCCAGGTACATCCACCTTTGAGATTCTATCTAAAAAAAAAAGAAAAGGTAAAAAAAAAAAAAAGCTAAGTTATATATGAACTGTTTTGGCTGCACTGTCTGTCACTTTTGCTTGTCATATGTGAACACAGAAGTTAAGGTTACTCGTGTGCAAAAAGTTTTATAAAGGAAAAGGGGGGTTACTTTGTCTCCAATTGCACATCACTTAYGTTTGGGATTAAGGTACTGGCAGCAAGTGGGTCTTTGTTACAACTTCTTGGGTCTCTAATTTTCTCCTGTCTCTCATGTCTGTACTAACCATGCACTAAAGGGGAGCCCAGGAAAGGAGACTGCTGGGGGAGGAAATGGCATTGCTGTGGGAGAGGATTTATCTGCAGTGTGATTGGAATGCGATTGTCACATCCYGATGAGGAGCTGGTGCCTGGTTTTGCTGTGTACTAATGCTCTTACTAAAGCCTGCAGGAGCTTTGGGGGAGTTTATTTCTGCAGGGCACAAGTACTTTGTGCCCCTGATAGATCTGTTAATTTAATTCCACTAGCACTCAAGTGTGTTGCAGACACTGTGTCACAACATGGAAGCACAGTCAGAGCTGCTGCTGGCTCTGATTCCAGTTTGTTTTCTTGGCCTCTCTGAAGGCTGCAGTGAGTCCCAGGTGTGGTCAGGTTGGTGCCTGCTGCTCTTTTGATTTCTTAGGCTCTGTTCAGCGACAAGTCGTCATCCTAACCCTGGGACTGTTGAATCAGGAGCACGGTGCCTTTGCTGGTTACTCTCATCTTTTGTGAAGAACAACTGTTAAGAAAATTTTCAGAAAGATTCAACATAAACTCAGTTTGAATTCAGTGAGTCTGTCCTTCAGTTGTCCATGAATGCTTCTTTTTTTCCAGAGAGCTGTGTAATTTCTGCCTGACTCTGCCTCCAGCCTACTGCAATGCCAGCTTTTTGTGCACGGGGCTATTTCTTGACTAAAAGATGTTACGCAACAGAGTAGTTTTTCATATCAAACTGAGAGTCTATATTCTAACCTACTCAGGGTAAATCAAATCCAAACCCCCCCTTCCACCAAAAAGCCTGTAATGTTGCAATAAATGCAGTCTCATTCTAAATGGTTTATTTATGCTGCATTATTTTAAAAGATGTAATTTTATAGTTTTTATCCATCTTTCTGGCTTTGGCTGTCAGTCTTCTTGTGTTAAAGGAAAGAATGATTAAATAGTCTTTATTCAGTTTACAGTGTTGTCATTAGTGAGATACAAAGATAATGACTGTAAGCCAATTAGTGGGGAGTGTTCCTGCACTCAATTTAGGAATGCAAACTGTCGTGTGTAGAGATCTTTCACTCTTTGTGTTTGGCCAGAGCTGCTCTCTGTACCTCCAGGGAGGGGAGAACGCTGTGAGTGCAGCCTGGTGATCAGCAGGTGTTTAACTCTCCTGTGACATCCTCAGTGCAGCCTGACCAACACTGAGCCAGTGGCTTCAGTGACCTGTTGTGCTATTCCCTTGAGAATACACTGCCCAGGCACGGCTAGAAAGGGGCTGAAGGGAGCTGGCCTTTCCCTCTTGGACAGTTTGCTTGCAGTCAAATGCAGAAGGGGAAAAACTTGTCCCGTGAGGGCAAACTGTTGTGCCAGGAGTGCTCTCTGCCTGGGACATGCTGTGTGTCTGTGCCAGGGCAGAGTTCACCGTGGCAGTTGCAGGGATGAACTCAAGGGCACGTGCTGCTGGTGTTTCCTCTGGGTGTGTAGTAGGGCTGTTGCAGCAGGGCTGTRAGTCCTGCCAAACAAGGTTTGGCATCCACAAAACAGGTTAACGAAGCATTTCTTTTTTTTGTTCCTGTAATGGCAATCCCTGGAGGGCAGCGAGGTGKTGGCCCCTTTTGCTTTTCTCCTACAAATTCATTTTATGTTGCAGTCAGGTTGCATGGCAGCAGGAACTGATTTGAACACATAAAATAGTCTCAAGCCTGCATGGTTGGGACTGTTCTTGCAGAGGAGAATCTCCTGTCAGCTATTCTGCATAAAGCTCCACTCGGGAGGGGAATGAATGCTGCCTCGAGCTGCGTGGGGGTCCCTCTGTGCCTCTCAAGTGGCCTCAGGCCTCTTCTKTGGCAAAGCTGTGGTGTTTGAGGATGAGTAGGTGGGGTGTGTGCCTGTGGGAGACTGCTGATGCAGGAGTGTGAAGATTCCCCTGGAGTTGTGGGTTTACCTCTGATGGGGGACAGCGTCCCAGATGTGGCCTGCACTGTGACAGCTGGGCAATTTAGCAGCCTCTTCTGAGCCTTTGCAGCCTTCAGGGAGGCTTTTTTACTTTTGCTACTTATGACTTAGTCAACCTAAAACACATTTCTGGTTGGACCAGAACGCATCTTCAGAAACTCTTTTGTGACTGAAATGAGTAGAAGAAACTACCAAAGTCTCTGAACTGGGGAGCTCAGTGTGGAGCTGCAGTGATGGGCAGCAGTGTCCAGGGTCAATCTCTGCTGTTTCTCTTCACAGCTGCTGGGATTTTTTGGTGTGTTCCAGGAAAAGCACTATATCCTGCTGATTCTTTGGTGCTTTGGGTTTGTCATTGCCCTCTTGAACATGCATCAGGCAGGCTGCAATTCAGGTGCAACTGGTTAGAGCTTGTGTTGAGGCAGGAGCATGTGATTCTGTGAGCACACAGGCTGTGCATCCACTGCCTTTTATAGGTGTGCTTTGGTTGTTTATCGTCCATCTGCTTTCCAGAGTGTTTGTGCTGCGTGTGTCTGAGATGTTTTCACATTTACATCATCCTCAGTGCTGTGTGATCAGATATTGTGCTCCAGGGCAGTCTGGGCCATGCTGGGACAGGAGGAGCTCCAAGGGCAGCTGCAGCAGAGCCCTGAGATTCTGCAAGGCCACAGATTTTCCTGTCCTCTCCTTGCTGCCCCAGCATTTAGCATATTCACTATTACATGGTTAATAAAAGGGAGAGTTTCTGCCCTTACAGATCTGGTGAGATGTTGGATTACCAGAAAAGGGCACATTCTGTTAATGTACTGGAGCCTCTGGGAACAGCGTGCCTGCCTCTACAGAGTCTGCATGAAACCCTTTAATTAAATCAGAGAGCAAAACTGCACTGCTCTAGGTCACCTGCTTTGTGCTAGTGGGAGTTTCCTTGGTCACTTGTAGTTTCCAGATGGGTGTAGAAGCTTAAAYTTGTAGAGGGGGTCAAGTTACTGAGTTTGGAATCTCTGGTCACCAAGCAAGAGCCCATACGAGCAGCCTTGGTGTGCAGCTGAAGGCTGGAGAAATTGCTTTTCGTGCTTGTAGGGGGTGGGGGGTGGTGTGTGTAGAAAAATCAGCACTGATTGAATGCTGGTACTGAATTACATGGAACARAGTACGAGTTGGACACTTGTGTAAATGCTGAGTGTGCCCAGGAAGACAAGTTCGCAGAACCTCATACTGGTATCTAAAATGCACTTTAGGTTATTTTATCTTTAACCCAATTGCTGCAATTTCTTTTGTATATACTTTCACAAAGTTTATTTTTGCTCTGAGTAAAAGTTAACAGGGGTGTGCAAAGATGAGCACTTAACTTGGTGCAATACCTGTAGCTAAAGATCCTTGTCCTGTGTGGTGTGTGTGTCTGTCTGACAGAACAGGTGTGGTGGGTGCCCTTCCCCCCTGCCCCAGACAAATTATGCATTGTTAACAAACGTCCAATCTATGCAATTAACCCTCTGAGAGCACTGTGCTTCAGCAGCCTTTTCTCTCACGCTTTCTGGGGGCTGCTTGTCACTCCTGTTGGACATGCTGTGTCCCTTGTGTGTCCTCCTTGCCCTGTCCTCGTTCTGTCACCCATGTGGGAACACAAGTGGCAAGCTGCTCTCAAACAGGCATGTTGCACCTTTGAAATTTGTCTTCAAGATGGTTTCTGATGCCCTGTTACTGCCTTAGTTCTTGGGGATGGCGTGGCCACAGCCATCCACGACATTGTCCTTGATCTGCACCAATGTTGTGACTGTTTCCAGCACTCCCACTCCAAGATAACCTGAGCTCAGAGCTGGAGCCAGCTGAGGGGGAGCTGAGCTGAGAGCAGTCGTCCTTGGAGCTGCTTGGAGATGAGCAGCTGTTGCTGTGTTGGTTCCTGAGCTGAGGCAGTGGGGCAGTGGGGCARGAGCAGACCACATCTGGTGTAACATTCTCGCCTCCATCGCTGGCACAGAACCTCTCTGTGCCTTGGATCCTCCCCATGGAACGAGGGCAGGGTGTTGCCTCTGTGAAATCATTTGAGATCTGTGGGTGAAAAGTTGTTGGCAGGAGTTATCTGAGCTATCTGGGCAGAACTGTTGGAGTCAGTTTGGACTGTAAGGCAAAAAAAAAGAGCATGTCTTTAATAAACCCKATGAATTTCTGACTGCAGAGTTTTTAATTGTATACTATTTTTTCCGTAACATATTTTGGAAGCAATGTCAAGTTTTTATAAATGTTACCTGTAGTCGATACTCATGGACAGGGCTGAACTTTTAACTTTTTTGTGTCTTGTCTCGATACCTATCACATGTTCTAGAAGTTGGATTCTGTGTCTGCACTGAGAAATGCAAATTAAACTGGATATTTATGTGGTAGTGTACATAGTCTGAGTGTGTGTGTTCTTGGAACTAGGTGAAACCCCACACCATGCTGCAGTGGTGTGTAAGCTGGCCAAAATTTGGTTCATTATGCAGCATACACTTTCTCAAATAAATGCAGTTTCTACTTTTTCTTAAAGAAGTTTTTTTTTTTTTTTCACATGACCTTTTCCAGCAGACTCGAGGGTGTGTTTGCAGTGCTGTAGTTGCAGTCGCTGGTGTTCCTGGTTTGTGACTCTCCTGTCCTCCCGCTGCTCGGGCTGACCCTGCTCTGTTCTGCCTCACCCAGCTGGGTGTTGCAAACCCCAGCCTGGCTCCACAGCACAGGCAACTCCTGCAGAGCTGCCTGGGGCCTTGGAGATGGCTGAACTAAACCCCAGTTTCTCAAGAATGTGTGTATKGTAATAAAGGAATTTATTTAACTCTGAAACATGGGAACAAATGTGCTTACATTGAGCAATGTGAAGATGTTAGTTACAGGTACAGTACTTCCAAAGGAAGAGCATCTCCAAAACCCAAAAGAGTAAATATGAATTTGTATTTTTTGAAGAATGTGAAATAATGGTGTTTGCTTAATTGCTCATTTTGTATGAAGTTAATATTGTACTTTGAAATACCTGCAAAGAAGTGGAAATTAACCTTTTTGGAATTGAAAGCAATATTAATACTAATGGAATCCTAATTAAATGCTTATTTAAACATTGTGTTACAATAGTTTTTCTTAAGAGTATTCTGTGGGAGAGGAGTGTGATTATCCTGTCCTGTCCCCTTAGGAAGAGGAATATCCCTGAAAGGCAGTGTTTGCCTTTTCACCCTCTTCCCTCTCCCAGCACTGGTGCTGTGGGRTGTGGGTGGGAGTTGAAACCCAGAACTGGGGCATCTCCCACCCCAGACCTCCAGCCTGGTCCCAKAGYTGGCTCCAGCTCAGGTCCTGTCTCTCTCCAGGGCTGGCTCTGAGCAGGGGCTGGTGAGCAGGGCCCGCAGAACAGCAGAGTTTGTGCCTCTGCAGCCCCTCCAGCGTGGGCTCGGGCTGGTCCTGATCCCAGAGCTGCGGGGAACAATCAGCCTCCGGAACACACAGGGGCTGGGGGCGGCTGTGCCTCCTCCTGAGCAGGCACTGGGGTGGGGAGATACAGACCAAGCGCRTCTTGCTTTATTTAGAAATGTAAATTTAATGCGATTAGGCACCAGGGCAGCGAGACCAAGCGAGGTCCAAGGCCACAGCGGGGGAACCCGGCGGTGCTGCCGTTATCATCCCTGTGTTCCCCCGGCACCGACCGCCGTTCCCGGAGCCCCTCGCTCCTTCCCTCGCTGTCGCCGCTGCCCCCGGGGCTCCTCAGGGCCCCGCACCGCCCTCGGCCGGGCCAGCGCTCAGCGCCGCCCGCAGCGCGTCCATCGCCGCCCTCAGCTCCTCGCAGGCGGCCATGCGGGCCCGCAGGTGCCGCTGCCGGAGCTCCAGCAGCTCCCGCAGCCTCCGCGCATCGTCTGCAACCTGCGGGGACACGGCGGGGACAGCGGTCACGGTCGGTGCCGCGGGTACCCCCGGGCCCCCCGATCCCTGTCGAACCTCCGCTCCCTCCGTTCCCCCCGATCCCTGTCGAACCTCCGCTCCCTCCGCTCACCCCGATCCCTGTCGAACCTCCGCTCCCTCCGTTCCCCCCGGTCCCGTCTGACCCTCCTGCTCCCTCCGTTCCCCCCCTTTCCCCCCCGTTTTCCCCCCGTTTTCCCCCGGTCCCCGCTCCGCACCCGCCGCTCCTCCGCCGCCTCGCTCCGGCCCGCGCGCGTCTCCCGCGCGCCCTGGGTCGCCATGGGAGCGGCGGGATCCGCCCCGCCCCGCCCCGGATGTTCCCTCAGCGCCCGGCGCCGCCAGTGGAGCGGCCCCGCATGGCGCGGGCAGCGCGGGCCCTGGCGCTGGCGCGGGTGGCGGAGGGAGCGGCGGGAGCGGCACCGGGACCGGGTCACGGTAACGCCCGCCTGGTGCTGCTGCCGCTGCCGCCCGGCGGCACGGCCCGGCCCAACCCTCACGGTGCGCACGGAGAGCCAGCGGAGGGCGGCGGAAGGCCCCGGATCGGGCTGGACTCGGCCGCAGCGGAGGGCGGAGGCTCTGGCCGGTGCCCCGCTGACACCCGGTGCCGCACAGGCTGGAGGGAGGCGGTGTCAGCTGCCGCCGGTGCCCTGCGGGCGGGCGGGCTGGTGGCCGTGCCCACGGACACGGTGTACGGCGTGGCCTGCCTGGCCCAGGACTCGGCCGCYGTGCGCAGCATCTACAGCCTGAAGGGAAGGAACGGCGCCAAGCCGCTCGCCATCTGCCTCGGGGACGTGGAGCGGCTCTACAGGTGCGGCTGCCCGGGGATGGATCCCGGTGGGTGCGGTGCCTCCCCTCGCGGAACCGGAGCCCCACGGAGGGGATGGGAGGGCTGTGGTGGAGCTGCC